AATTTTATTTATAAACTTTTGTACACACTTGCTGCGTTACATAATCACCTGAGAAAATACTTGCCTTTTAACCTGGAATCTGGAATCAGATCACAACAGGACAGCATGGTTTAAGTTCTGAACTGATGTTTATTTAAGCAGTTCCAAACTAGCTTGTACATCCTACTTTGCTTTGATTTTTAAAAACTGTGGAAAAGCAAGGCATGGTGGAACATGCTCGGATCCCCAGCATTCAGGAGGCTGAGGAAGGAGGATCACTGCAAGTTCCAGGCCACTCTTGGCTACCTAGTGAATTCAACGCTAGCCTGTACTACATAGAGACCCTGTCTCAAACAAACAAACAAAGCACATTGAAAAGATTTTCTGTCATTCTATGTTGCCAGTAGTTCATGGTGGCATCTTATTATTTTAGATAGGCTTCTGGTTGTTTCTGTATGTCCAGCTATTTGGTGGGAAGGGTACAGAAGTAGCACATCTGAGATCATTAACTTTTTAGATGTAGCAGACTTTAATTCTAGAAAGTGTTTTTAGTAACTTTTATTTTAGGGGCCAGGGAGATGGCTCAATAGAATAAGTGCTTCCCTGGCAAGCACAAGGTTTAAGTTCCACCAATCCCTGGTTCCACCAAAAAAATAAAAAATGTATTTTAGTACAAGGTCTACAGGGTCTCACTACACAGATCAGACTCGTAGTGATCCTCCTGTTTTCAGCCTCCCAAGCGCTGGGATTACAGGCATGTGCCACCACACCCAGTTTCAATCATCATCTCAGCATGCCCCGGAGGTGAGGCTGGCACAGCATACCAGGGATTGAACCCTGGTTCCTGCATCTGCCTAAGCAAGCACTTTAATCTGCTGAGCTATCTGGCTGGCCCTTAGTAACTTTTTATGGATGAGGTCTAGGGATCGAACCCAGGGCCTTGGCACCACACTGAGCCACCTCTCAATCATCACACCCTCCACCCCATTTGTTGAGACAAGGTCTAAGTCACTCAGTTTTCTAGGCTGTGTTGAAATTTGTGATCCTCCTACCTCAGCTTCCCAAAATTATGGGACTATAGGCATGTCCCACATATTTTTGAAAGAACATTTTATCTTCTCTAAATGTCAAAAGCCCTTCATCCTCTACCACCCAAACTAGGGGCAGTTTTTGGCAGTACTTTTGTTAAGCTTTCTATTTGAATTTTGCATAACCTCAAAAGAAAAAAGAACTCTCCTTTTTCTTGAAACATTGTTCTTGAAAAATTTTACAGTCTGTTGTTTTGAAATTTGATTATTAAGAATAGAATGTACCGGATGCTCCTTGTTTTATTCTGAAAATTTCTTCTACATTCCTTGTCCCACCTGAAGCCAGGGCTTTGTGCGCACTAAGCTAAGCATACGTCAACACTGAGCTACATCCTGGGCCCACAGACCTTATTACTTTGGGCTCAGAGGTGCTCCAGCCAGCATGGTGTTCTGCATGATTTTAGAGTTTCCTCCCCCTAAGCTTCAGCAGCAGCAAGGTTAATATTTTCCTTCTAAGTCATCCCATGCAATAGGAAAACTGCTCAATAGATTTGCTTTGAATACTAACATGCCAAATAGATCCACAAAGACTAAAATTCTGATGTAATCTGTTGTTTTTTCTGTTTACTAGTGCATAAATGTTTTCACTGAAGCTGTTATTTATTTTTTAATAGGGAACACTTTCTGTGATTTTGAAAATGTAAAAATAAGGGCCAGCCAGATAGCTCAGCAGACAAAGCACCTGCTTAGGCAGGCACAGGGACCTGGGTTCCATCGCCAGCATGCTGTGCCAGCCCTTTCCCCAGGGCATGCGACTGAGACTGGGTATGGTGGTGCACACCTGTAATCCCAGCGCTTGGGAGGCTGAAAACGGGAGGATCACTATGAGTCCGATCTGTATAGTGAGACCCTGTAGACCCTGTACTAAACACACACACACACAAAAAAAAAAGGAAAAGAAAATGCAAAAACAAACTGGGCTTGGTGGCACATGTCCCAGCAGTCAGGAGGAGGAGGCAGGAAAATCACTGCAAGTTTGAGGCCAACTTGGGCTACAGAGCAAGACCTTATCTAAGAAAAAAAGCGACTGAGGGCCTGGGGATATAGCTCAGTAGAATAAGCACTTCCCTGGCAAGCACAACGGTCTGAGTTCAATCCCCAGTTCTGCCCCAAAAAAACCAGTTGTTCTCTCTCACTCTAACATCCCCTCCTCTTCCCCTACAGTAAGCTGGTTTTATAATTTACTGTGGATCTTTCTAGTATTTAACATATGAATTTTGATATATATAAAAGTTTAAATATATATTTTAATCTCACTTATTGCACAAAAACATAACATTAATTTCTTCTGTTTCTAATTTTGCAGGACAATCACAGCTTCAAGCTCACCTGGGCAATGTAACAAAAGCCAGTAATAAACAAAATTAAAAATCTTGGTGGTGTACCTCAGCACAAAAGCCCTCAGCAGTACTGGGGTAGAGGGGGAAGAACAAGCAAAATGCTCCCAGAATAAAAATGTTTACTCTAGGACTGGCAGTGTAGCTCAGGGTGGAACACTTGCCTAGTGTGCTTGAGGCCCCGGGTTTGAGCCCCATTGTGTACACACACACAAACACACCCACACTTATTGGAGCCTAAGAAAATAAAATTAGTATGGTGAAATAGTCATGCTTATATAGGTTGGAATTTGGAATATAGAATTATTCTAATCTTTTTTAAAGTCCTTTTTGGCAGTACCTATTAAAATGAAGAATGCTCTTGTCTTTTTATAGTTTTCAGGGCTTTAAAACATATTTTCTATTTTTAAAATCATTTAGAAGTTTTTTTTTTTTTTAATGTATTTGGTACAGAGTCTTACTACGCAACTCAGACTCGTAGTGATCCTCCTGTTTTCAGCCTCCCCAGCGCTGGGATTACAGGTGTGCACCACCACACCTGGACTTAGTCACCCAGCTTAGCACACCCTGGGGGCGAGGCTGGCATGGCATGAGGGACCGGGCTCGAATCTTGGTCCCTACACTCGCCAAAGCAGGTGCTTAGTCCACTGAGCTATCTCACCAACCCTTAAATTTTATTTTTCTAGTATAAAAAATGTTCAAACATACACAAGAGAGAGAATAATATAACGGATCTTAATATACCCATGTGTTATGGTTTGTGTCTAGGTGTCCCCCACCCGCACCCCCAAAGCCTCATGCAGGTTTCTAGAGTTCCGGATTGCTGGGATTAGGGGTATGAGCGCTGCAGCCATGCTGGGGCACTTAGCCGAAACGTTATGTAAGGAAGGGAGAGAGGCTTGCTCTCTGCTGCTGCTCCTCCCTTTTTCCTCTTGCTGTTCTGCTGTTTTCCACCACCATCGACTGCTCCCCTCTGCCATGTGCCACTCTGCCTTGGAGCCAGCCGAGTACGGACTGAAACCTCCACAAACTGTGAACTAAATAAACGTTTCCTTCCTTCATTTTGTGTGTGTGGGGTTTTGTCCCAGCAACAAGAGGAAAGGAACAGAGACACCATGAGCTAAGTGACTTCAATAGTTATCAAGCTTTTGCTTCCCCTATCTCTATCTACCCCTATCCTTTTTCTGTATGTTACTAAAATATTTGAAAGCAAATCCCAGACATCATGACATTTAATGTCTAAAAGATTTCATCATTTGCTTATATAACCATATGCTATTTCACACCTAAAAACTAACAATAAATCACTGACATCATTTAATACCCAATCCATATTGAAATATCCCCAGCTGTCTCGAAGTATTTGTATATTGATTAAGTTGATCAGAATCCAAATAAGATCCATATTTTGAATTCAGCTGTTAGGTCTCTAATACACCACTGACTCAAAGAACTGAGCATATGTACTGAAGAAAGTCAGACATACTACCGACACTGCCACTGCAGTGGTTCACAGACTGGTCCGCGCGGGTGAATCCCCTAGAGATCTTTACAATTCAAAATTCAAGCCTGTAGAACACAGTATTAAAAAAAAAAAAAAAAAAAATCTTCAGTGACTCAATGGTGCCCAAATATTTGGGCACCATTGTGCTGTTTTTGAAGGAATTCTAGGCTACGTTCCCCCAGATATACTACCTGTAAGACAGGTGGAGGGAGAAGGCGTTAGATAAGCAGCCTTCCAAGCTCTCCCTCACCCAGGCAAACCCTCCGGCTTCTACAAGCCGCTGGGTTCGACAGAGGCGCCCTCTGATTCTCAGCCATCCCTTCATCCTTGCCTTTTTTTTTTTCTTCATAGCCTGGAGCACCAGTAGAAGTCCCATACGAGCCCAAAGAACTCATAGATGGGACTGTGCGTGCCCCAGTCTGTCTTCTAGGGTCTGGAGAGCAGAAGGAATCGATTAAATTGTTAAGGTGCGAAATCCCTGGAGAATTCAGAAATAGTAAAGTGGGAAGAAAAGGAGGAGCACCCAGTTACACAGAAAAAAAAAGAAGAAAAACTTTTTACGCCACGTGGAGGAGCTACTGCGACTCCCCCGGAGGAAGCTCCTCTCACCTGGAAGGCGGGATCCAAGCCTTCCGGAACACCGGCGCCCTGGAAGAGGTTCGGACTTGAGGCTGGGCTGGGCGGACCTCTCGGGCGCCTCTCAGCGTGGTGGAGTCTGCGGAGAGGGAGCGGCGGACCAAGAAGCAGGCAGCGCCGGAACCCGGTGAGGCCTTCCTGTGGGGCTCTGCCTCAGGCTCCTTTTGGTTACCTCTCCGCGCCCGATAGAGTCCCGCCTGCCCAGACTAATCCATCAGCGGCAGAAGGCTCTATCCCATCGTTCAAACAGAGCCGCGCCGCGTCCCTCCCGCCCCTCCCCGCTCCCCCCCGCTCGTCCCCGTCGGGGGGCCCGCCCCTCCCCGCTCCGCCCCGCCCCTCCCGCGCAGGGCTCCGCCCCTCCCAGGGCCCCGCCCCTCCCCGCCCAGGGCTCCGCCTTGCGGGGTAGAGGGCTTGGTCGCTTTCCTGCACCGCCTGAGGTCCCAGCGCCGCTCGCGGCCGTAGGCGACATGGAGGACGGCGTCCTGGGCCGCGCCGTGTGCGTGCTCACCGGTGCCTCCCGCGGCTTCGGCCGAGCACTGGCCCCGCTCCTGGCGAAGCTGCTGTCGCCCGGCTCGGTGTTCCTCATAAGTGCTCGCAGTGACGACGCACTACGACAGCTGGAGGCCGAGCTGGGCGCGGGGCGGCCTGGACTGCGCGTGCTGCGGGTTCCCGCCGACCTGGGCACGGATGCGGGCTTGCAGCAGCTGCTTGGGGCCCTGCGCGAGCTGCCCAGGCCCCAGGGCCTGCAGAGACTGCTGCTTATCAACAACGCGGGTGAGGCTTGGGCCCTGCAGTGGAGGCCGCGCTCCCCTCGTCGGGCGGGGCGGGGGGCGGGAAACTACAGGGCAGCGCAGGCTAGGCGGGTGAAAGTCCAAAACCCTAGTTGTTCAGGTGGGAGCGGCAAACAGAGGCGAGGCGCACGCTAGAAATGTGCGGTGCAAGCGGGGCGAGCTCACTCTAGGCTGGAACGACTTGACCGACCAGGTTTTCTACAGCCTCATGCAGGGCCCTGTGGTGGAGGCCCAAGTCAGGGCTAGTAGTTCCCAGACATGTTCCCTTCTTCTCCAAAAGGTCTCTAGAACTTCCCCACCCCATTCTGGTAGAGCATGGGAAATGTAGTTTAAGGGGTGTCCTCCCCAGGCAAGTCTGCTGCAGAGTTGGGGAAGTGGGAAGTGTTCTGGGAGGTGCTGCTCCCTCTGGATCAGTCTGCGAAGGAGGAATTGGGGGACTGCTGAAGGAGAAACTTCCCCTGGCCCTGAGTTATTTCTTTGGTTTGTTTTTCCAGCCACTCTTGGAGATGTTTCCAAATGCGTCCTGAACCTGAGTGACCCCGCTGAAGTGAACAACTACTGGGCTCTGAACTTGACCTCCACGCTTTGCCTGACCTCCCATGTTTTAAAGGCCTTTGAAAACAGTCCTGGCCTCAGCAGGACTGTAGTTAACATCTCATCCATCTGTGCCCTGAAGCCCTTCAAGGGCTGGGCATTGTACTGTGCGGGGAAGGCTGCCCGTCACATGATGTTCCAGGTCCTGGCCACAGAGGAGCCTAGTGTGAGGGTGCTGAGCTATGCCCCAGGTAGGTGGAAAGTACTTCTCTCTGTCCCCAAGCACTGGCTGTTCCTTGCTGGGGGCTGGGCAAAGGGCTTAGTCTGTCTCTGAGAAAGGACTCACAGAGTACACCATCACTGAATCATGACCACCTTGTTCCTCAAAAGCTAAAATCACCAGGACAGGATACAGAGAGAAAATAGGGAGTTGCCTGGACTGGAGGGTGGAATAGGAAAATCTGAGATACTAGATGGCATTTGGGTGAAGATCAGGGTTTGAATTCTAGGCCTAAACCCCATATCCTCATGTGAAATGGGGACGATGCTGTCATACAGGGCATGGGGGGAAGGGACTTTTAAAAAAGGCAGTACATAGCTGGGGAGATAGCTCAGTGGAATAAGTGCTTGCAAGATCCTGAGTTCGATCCCTCGTATTACCAAAAGAAAAAAGTAAATAAAAGAGGCAGTACATGTGAAAATGATCCTTAGTAGTGAAGAACTAAATTGATACAGAAGTTGTCACACTGTATTTCCGTCATCTATATATACTTGTCAGCTTCCTTCCCTTGCAAAGCTGCACTGAGGCACCCATGGTGAATGTCAGTTGAATGAAGAGCAGACAGACATTGCAGAGATGTAATCATCCCTGGACAGAACACAGTGGGTGGGTACTGAGGGTTTTTGGGATAGATAAGAGATGAACCCTATTCTCATGCAAGTTAAAGGGTATGGTGACTTATGATACCTGGTTTGTGACCACTTGCCAAGATGCCACTCTGCCAGCCAACATCTAGGCTTAGAGCCAGGGTAGAGTGTTGGAATTACTTAGGTGGAGATCTGGTAGTCTGTGTCCCTTTGTAGTCTTGGGGACAGAGAGGTTGAATGGCCTGCCCAAAGCCCAGCTGTGGCAGATCTGGGATCCTACCTTGCTTCCAACTTCCTGGTCGGTGTGTGTCTTGATCAGTGTCCCCATTTGCTCTTGTTCTCCAGCGCCCCTGAGCATACACACAGTTACTCTTGCACCAGCATCCAGCTTATCACTCCCTTAAAGCTTCACCTAGGATGCAAACAGCAGAGACCAAATATAGACCACAGCCAGGAGCCGAGCAGATTCTGGATCACCATGTGGCTGAGTTAGATCTCAGAAGCTGCTCTAGACATTGTGAGGGAGCTGAGAGTCTTGGAGTTCCCCAGAGACTTAACGAAGCCACAGGTCATTCTGGCTATTTCAGTGGGTGGGGCGGCTATGGTATAATGCCTGCCTGGCATGTACAAGGCCTTGGATTGAATCCCTAGAAGTACAAGAAAAAGCAAGTTGTGATTTGTAAGAAGAATGTTATGTAGAAAGGTTGAAAGGATCTCTGGCCAAGGATGCACAGGTGATTGGAAGTTTCAGGATGATTCTCTTTCCAGCTCTGAGAGTCTGTGATTCCCTGCTCCTGAAAACCATTAACTAAAAGCCATTAACTCCTAATTCTGGGGTGCTGTGATTCTGATATGAAGAATAGAAAGGGATGAACTTAGAAAAGTTCAGAAAGAGGACAGGTATGGATGTGTACACTTGTAATCCCAGCACCTGGGAGGCTGAGGCAGGAGGATCAAAGGGAATTCAAAGCCAGCCTAAACTTCATGGTGAAACCCTTCTCAAAAAGACAGAAAAAGTTCAGAAAGAAAGTTATTCCCTTCAGGAGAGGAGATCCGAGGTGGCTTGACTGTAAGCAGCCAATCTGTCCATTGACCCTGTAGGCTGCTCAGATGTTAGCAGATGGAAAGTATGTTTCAGAAATGCAGGTAAAGGTAGGACAGCTTCTTAGGGGTGTGACTGCTCTTCTAGTCTGGCTTGAGGGTGCTTGTGCTCATGGAGCAGGCATGGATACATGCCAGGATCCTGGGAAACCTGTAAGTGGTTTTGAGCAGAGGAGTGGTGTGATCTTTTAGCAGAGTGAATTTACCAGAGGCCTGGGTCAGGAGTTGAAGCGGAAGACACAGGGTTGTAAAAAGAACCAGGTTGTTGAGGTACATAGACACAGAGATCCTAACTGCCACCTGGTGCCTAATGTTGGTTAGCTGGAAGGAAGGGAGTAGAGGAGTGTGGAAAGTTTGAGTACTGCATTAATAGAATTCGGAAAGTCAAGAGGAGGTACTGCTTGGACAGGAGATTGTGAGTGGTCGTAAACATCGTGGCTTAGGAGGGAGCATGTTCTGTGACCTTTGGAGTTTGAGTCTAAAACTCTGTGTTGACAAAGTGGTGCCTTTGGCCACACTGGTCATGCAGTTCAGCCATGATGATGCGTGGCCCCAGGCAGACCTGACCCCCGCCCATCCCCCACACATAGTGGAGAGCCATGACCTTCTATTTTTAATTCCCTAGGTCCTCTGGACACAGACATGCAACAGTTGGCCCGGGAGACCTCTGTAGACCCAGATTTGCGGAAAACCCTGCAGGAGCTGAAAGCAAAGGGGCAGCTGGTAGACTGCAGAACGTCAGCCCAGAAACTTCTGAACTTGCTGCAAACAGATGTGTTCGAGTCTGGAGCTCATGTGGATTTCTACGATAAATAAGTCCATGTCCTTGGCCTCCTGGGCCTTCCATCCTTACATCCTGCCATAGCAGCCTACACCACTGCCTGATGCAGAGAAGCCCTCGTGCCTCCTGGCCTGCCTCTTTGTGCGACTAGTAGAGAATGACTGGCATCACCAGCCAGGCAGAGTCTAGGTTGTGTATCCTGCGTGATGAGGCTTCTGTAGGAGGCTGTGGGAGAGGGTATGGATGTTGGTGTTCTCTCTCCTTAATAGAAATTTAGGGATGCAAAGAACAGAAAAAGAGCAGTTGAAACACTGAAGAGAAGAGTTTGGGTCTCTTGCCTATAGCCAGTCTGTGAGGGTGAGGGGGTAGAGACCGGGTGTGAAATAGGAGGACCCATGTAGAGTCACAGGTGGCCTGGGGGGAGGGGGGACACACAGTTCCAACCAACATGGATGTCCCTTGCTTAGGGCAGTGACACCCTCTGTTGAACTTTGTGTCCTCATTCTGGCCTTCTCCCTCCAGAACTTGCTATCCCTCCCTCTGCTGGGCATAGCAAAGCCAGTTACAAATAAAATGAGCATTAACTCCTGTTTCCTCCTTTTTCTAGGAAGCCCATGAGGTTCCCTATGCCTGAGGCCATAACCTAAGGGTGCTGCCCTTTTTTCCTGGGGAGTTGTTCCTGTCACCAGGGCTCGCTCAGTGGCAAGCCTGGGTCCTGCTTACCATGGAGATGCTGACATACCTGTTCTTTCTTCATGCTTTTGCCCAAACTGACCCACGTCTTTGCCTTTCTTTCCTCACTCTGGACCATCCTTCAGGGCTCAGCAGAGCCTGCTCGCCTTCTGGCCCCACAGGTGGGCCCTTTCCCAGGCATCCCTTTGGATTCTGCCCCTTGCCTACATGAAAGTACTCTTCCTGGAGCCCAGCTCCCCTCTTGACACTATCTGTCTGGGCCACGGTCCTGCTCCTCGGTGGGGTGGGTTAGGACCAGCATACTTTCAGGGGAGATGGGCAGGACTCCAAGAAGAACGCCACTACTGCCAGTAGACAGATGTGAACTGGGCTGGGAGCCTGGCACAGCAGCGGTGGTCTGCAGCCAGCCACTTGGCCCCTGGCCTGTATTTGGGAAGAGAGAACACAGTTCCTTACCAGCTGATGCCAGGATTCTAGTAGCATCTGATTGCGTAGAGAAGCGCTCTGATCCTCCTGTGCCCACCAGAGGGCATACTGAGGCTGTGCCTCCTGGAGACTCTTGCTGGAAGACTGGAATTGGCAGTGCCCTGCAGGGTCCCTGAGGAGGAAACCTTGCCTGCCAGAGCCCTCATCCTTACGGAAGTAAAAATCACTAGCCACTTAGCAGCTGGCGATGTAGACCAGGTTGCTTCTCTGGGCCTCAATGTCTGCCTCTGAAAGATGGAGATTGAAATACACCTATATCATCATGAATACTAAGTGACAACAATGTAAATGTTCAGCACAATGCTAGCGTAGCAGTAAGTGCCCCATAAATGAAAAAAACATTTATGGCCTTTTAACATTAAGATCTCATAGACAGCTTCCAGTTCCCTCAGTGCCCAGATAACCTGGCTTTTCTGACCTGTGGCAAGAACTCCCTGTTCCTTTTTAGGGGCTGAGTTCCATCTGGACAGCCCTGGAATTCATGAGCTTTAGGATCCTCCAGTGTGAGCCCCTCACTCCCTCCCTGGGCTGCAGTTTTCTTCCTACAGTCCTGCCTTGAAGGTGTTTCAAGCTTAATCGGGTTGCATCAAATAGAATTAGGTATGCCCTTTGCAGGGGGCGTGGGCCATCCTAGGCTGTCCCTTCAGCCTTGGTGAGTGGATTTTCTCCACTGTGGACACATGAAAGTATCTGGCCTGGCCCGTGCCCTGGTGCAGGGTCCAGCAGGGTTGCCTCCCTTCTCCAGTTGGCTGACCAGGGGCACAGGGAGGAGTACCACGTGTTCCCACGAGGTGGCGAGGTGCTCTCATGCCTGACATTTAAGCACAGATGTGTAAGAGCCTTACATCCCAGCTGTCTCCCTAGGCTTATCTTACAGCCTAGGATTCTAGACTACCAAGGGTCTGGGGGGTCAGAAAGGGATAAGGTCACTCTCCCTAGCAGGCTTTAAGACCCCAGTGACCCATGGTCTCTACCCACAGGGATTTCCCAGACCTCTAACCCAGCCCCATGGAGCATGGAGGCTTTTGTGCCAGCCTCCAGGGGCCAACCATCTGTGTTCCCAGCGTGAATACCCCGGCCTGGGCCACCACACACAAGCACATGTGAACACACATAAGTACATGCCTGCAGTCCAGCTGCCAGGGTGAGCAGGGCCACAGATTAGCCAAAAGGTAAACAAGTTTTCTTTGTCATTGGTGTGAAAGAGCCTGGCAGTTTTGGTTTAGTGTTTCATATCCTGGAGCTAAGAGCAGCAGCTGGCCCGTGAGGAGCAGGAGGATGAAAAAAATATTCCAGGGGCCTCTGGCACCTCTGTCCTTGGGCCCAGCCAGCTGGGATGAGACTGGTCCGAAACTTCCCCCACCCTTCAATTCCTGTACCATGAGTGTACACGTACACCCCACACCTAGACTGGCGCTGAGTACACTGTTAGCTGAGCCTAGCGGGGCCAGCTGCTCCTATCTCCTCACGTGGGCTCATCCTCCAAGGGCACACTCCATCCTGCATCTCCTGTGTCTTGCCCAGGGACCTGCCTGGGGTACCACCTCCTGGTTTGCTTCACCGGCATTCTTCCCCGGAGAGCGTGGCTTCTTCCATCAATGTTTGTCTGTAGTCACTGAATCACATAGCCAATGTGCATGCCCTTGTGTGAGCACACCCCAAAAGGCCCAGCTGTGCTGCCCCATCCAGGGTACCCCCTGTGGTCACAGGAGGTGATGGAAGAGCATTTCCAGCTATTCAAGTGGAGACCCTAGGGAGTGACACCTCCAGGCATATTTTTTAGTGATCTAGAGAAGAGGAGGAGAGTGGACTAGAAGCCAGCAGCCCCATGCTGGAAAGTTAGCTGGGTAGTCCTTTGGTGCCTCTGGAGTCACCTTGGAGGGTGCTAAGGAGGGGGTCAAGCCACCCCGAGACCATCTCCCAGGTTTCTAAAGTAGAACCCATGTCTCCACTCCGCCCGGAGTTGTTACTAAGCCTTACTGGCTAGTCTTTCCCTTTGTCTTTCCCCTCTAGGAAACTGCACCCTCAGGCCTAACTATACTGAGTTTGGAGAGCCCTGGGCTATTTTTATTTCTTTCCAGTACTAGGAATTGAACCCAGGGTCTCTGCACTGAACTACATTCCCGACCCTTTTATTTCTACTTTTTTTTTTTTTTTTTTTTTTTTTACAGGGTGTTCAGGGTCTCACTACTAGATTGGACTCATAGTGATCCACCTGTTTACAGCCTCCTAAAAGCTGGGATTGCAGGTGTGCACCACCACGCCCAGTCTCAATCGCTGTCTCAGTGTGCCCTGGAGCCTGCATGGCAGGCCCAGGGATCGAACCCCCGGCCCCTGTGCCTGCTTGCAGGCACTTTAATCTGCTGAACTATTTGGCTGGCCCTTACTTTTTACTTTAAGACAGGGTCTTGGTAAATTGCTAAGTTGTCCAGGTGGGGGAAGGAAAAATGGGGTGGGGGAGGAAATTCCTTCTTCCTTGGGGCACCCACCTCTGGGGCCCTGTCTACAGCTGGGTGATTGATGCCTTAGTTAAAGAAGCTAGAAGCTGTCCATAGTCACTCTGGCCCCATACCTGCTGCCCTTACCTACCCCCCAGGGTAGGAGAAAGGGGCCTGGCTCCCACTTGAAGCTGCAGGAGTCTGTTGGACCCACACACTCATTCAGGTCCTGGTTCAGCTGCTGCCAGTGCCTCTGCTGCTCAGGCCTATAGTGGCTGTTGAGCTTCCACTTTTCCATCGAGCCAAGACCTCAGCCTCAGAGGCTGTGTGGATTTTATGGTGTTTAGCCAGATCCAGATCACTAGGGCCTGTTGAGTGTTTGCTACATGGTGAACGAATAAGAATGAGAGGGAGTGGCCCGTATTGTGCCCAACTGCCAGGAGTACAGCAGGGTGTGTGAAAGGGCTGCTTTCGGTTACAGTAACTGCAGACTGTGGGAGCTGAACGGGCCCCACCCAGTGCAGGCAGACCTGTGGGAGGCTGTCTGGGAAAGCCTGCGCCCTCCTCAAGTCCCTAGGAGAAATCCCACAAGGAGAATCACCCAGAGAGTATAAAACGCTCTCCCATTGTTCCTTTTTATCCTAGAACCTGAGTTATGTAACTAGGAGAGTCCCCACTTGCACAGGAGCATGTGAGCCATGGGTAGCCAGCAGTGCTATCAGAAACCAGGGGTACAGACTCAGAAGAGGAAGTTCATGGGACAGTCAGGGTTAGGGACTGGGGCCAGTGCACCACCAGCGTCAAGGACCAATATGTGGACAAGGTAACAGTGAGGCCAGATTTGAGGTCAGCTCAGAGGCATGGCCAGTCCGTAGCAGGGTGGCAAATATGGAAATGGATACAGAAAACTAGAAGGCAGGAGAGGTCTGCTGTTAAATGTTAATTTGCCTATAAATGATGACTGTCAGAAGGCCAGGCCTCAAAGACTCAGAGACACTTTGGGCCGGCAAGATAGCTCAGTGGACTAAAGCAACTGCTTATGGAAATACCGGGACCACAGTTCGATCCCTGGCACCACATGCTGCACCAGCCCCACCCCCAGGCAGGCTGAGCCTGGCAGAGTCCAGGTAAAGTGGCACACACCTGTCATCCCAGCACTGCGGAGGCTGAAAGCAGGAAGATCACAAGTGAGTCAGAGCTGTATGGTGAGACTCTGCAACAACCAAATCCATTAAAAAATAATAATAATAAAAAGATTCAGAGACTCTGGTGACCAAAGCTGAGGGACTGCTGGTCCTAGAGAGTCCCAGATCTGCCCCTCATCTAGCACACCCCCAATCTGTCTCTGTCCATGTCACACTCCAGGCAGGAGCCCTGCAAAGGAGAGGGATAGCTGCATCATTTTCTGGAACAGAAATGGACTTCCTCTGATAATCTACGTGGTTTACCTGGCCGAGACAGGCAAGGGACCAAGGGCAGAGAGGAGACCAAGGGGAGGCAAGGCCCCTCTCTTCCCTGGTGCATCCAGGGAGAACAAAAACAGACACAGCAAAAGTCAAAGACTGAGGTAGAGTGAGCAGAACTGTAAGAGAGAAGACAGAGAAAGGGCCAGAAATAGGGAACCCAGGGAGGAAAACAGAGACAGAAACCTTCCAAGATATAGTAAGACAGATTTAGATGGAAGGAGAGTGATGGCTGGAGAAGCCACACACACACACACACACACACACACACACACACACACACACGCCACACACCCGGGCGTGTGCTCACGCAGCAGCCCTGAGCCTTGCTGGAAATAATCCCGTTCACAACACCGGGGCCTCAGCTGCACAGGCAGTGCCGAGCTGTTACCTTGCACATCTGTCAGCTCCAAATGTGGAAGCTGTCACAGGGGTGGGTGTGTGTGTGTGTGTGTGTGTGTGTGAGAGAGAGAGAGAGAGAGAGAGAGAGAGAGAGAGAGAGAGAGAGA